TCAGCTCAGACGCTTCCCAAACTCCACACCCCGGGATTAGCTGAGCCTGCCGAGCTGTTTAATGTATAACCCTGCCCTTAATTGAATAATCTGATTTAATCCATCACTCTCTGCATGATCCAAACACTCTCCAGAGGGGCTCAGATGGGAATACAAAGGGAACGTGTGCTCTGGGGGTTGTGTGGAGGGCCGGGGCACTGGGAATGCTTGCACGGAGCTGGTGCTTGGCATCGGTACCACAGAGGGGAGAAACCCTTCCCATGGGATACAGGTGACCCTGCTGCTCTCTTTCCAGCTCCAGGAAGCAGGATAGAGCTTGGCAGGGCTGTGAGGAGGTGGGTGATGATTCCGTGACTGGAATCCGCAGAGGCAGGAGAGCTGGATAAGCTTTAAGGTCCCTTCAACCCAAACCATTCCATGATTCTGTGTGTATGTTTTGTGATCCCATATCCTAAATATCCGGCCAGAGCAAGTGTTCCTCTTTGAAGTGAGTCCCCAGAAACCTCTTTTATAGCTCCATACACCTCCTCTATGGGATAACGGCATGTGCCAGGCCATGGGCACACACAGAGCTCGGCTCCAGCACCAGCCTTGCCCAGTGCTGCTGCTCAGAGCTTGTGGACTCAGTGAACCTGTTCCAGCTCTTCCTGAAGCCGAATGAGGAGGAATAAGGAAGGAAAAGTGTCACTTGTTTTGTCGCTCAGAGGGTTTGGATAGAGGGGGAAGCAGAAAATCTGCTTCTAATTCTGAATGATGAATTTGAGCACGTTGAGCATGGAGAATGTTGGAACGAGCCAGAGCTCCAGAGCTGAAGGAAGGTGGGTGGGTGGGAATATCATCCAAGGATCATAGTGCTGCTCAGAGCTTGTGGACTCAGTGAACCTGTTCCAGCTCTTCCTGAAGCCGAATGAGGAGGAATAAGGAAGGAAAAGTGTCACTTGTTTTGTCGCTCAGAGGGTTTGGATAGAGGGGGAAGCAGAAAATCTGCTTCTAATTCTGAATGATGAATTTGAGCACGTTGAGCATGGAGAATGTTGGAACGAGCCAGAGCTCCAGAGCTGAAGGAAGGTGGGTGGGTGGGAATATCATCCAAGGATCATAGGCCCTGGAGCTGCTCTAAGGTGTCCCCTTCAGGAGCCTTCTCTTCTCCAGCTGCCCCAGCCCAGCTCTCTCAGCCTGGCTCCAGAGCAGAGCTGCTCCAGCCCTCGCAGCAGCTCCGGGGCCTCCTCTGGCCTTGCTCCCTTGGCAGAAGGAAGGTCGGATCCTTCCTGACTCCTGCATTTCCTTGTGCTGCGCTTCTTACACCAAGGTCAGGTGGGGCTCTGCTGGGGAACAGCTTTGCTCTAGTTTGAGCTTCATCTCCCACATCCCGGTGCCACCAGCACTGGGCTGGGCGAGTGCCTTTGGGACGGGATCACCTCTGGCCCGCGGCCGCTGGTCCCAGCTGGAGACCACAGTGGGTGCGGGCCTGGGCTGCTCACCCCACGTACCCCGACCCGGGCGGTTTGAGCGGCTCCACTGAATGAATTGATTTGATAAATGGACATTTATTACACTCACAAATTGGCTGAAACCAATTTTGGTCACATCAAGGCCTGAGAACTGCGAGGGTATTGATTTGTGTAAAGTAATACAGTGAATTTATCAGTTCAATAGTGAGCTGAAGGGCCTCTCGGAGACCCCGCGCCGTTACTGATGGGCCAAATCAAGTGAGAGCACCACAGCAACACTGCAAATGGCTCCAGAGAAGAAGGCCCCGGCGTCATCATCCACCTCCTCGCTTGGACGTTGGGGCTCAGGTGCCTTAATGAGATTTCAGCAGAGCACAGTGACCTCTCTCCTGGCTTTAGCAGCTATTTCCGCCACCCCTGAAGTTCCAGCGGGAAGGGGATGGCTTTCCAAGAGGCACAACGTGGGTTTCTTGCGTGGCCACCACCAGCATGGCTGGAGGCTGCTTTGTGGGTGCAGAGCCCCGGAGAGGAGCCCCACGGGCTTTCCAAGCTGAGGTTTTCCTCCTTCACACCAGCACAATGTCCTGCTCCAGCCTTAGGAGCAGCTCGGCTCCTCCTCGTGGAGCTGTGGCCAACCCACAAGAGCCTCCCATGGCTGGAGCTGCTGGAGCTGGGGGCATCCGGGACCTCGAGAGCATTTGGGGCTGGAATATCTCACCAGTTTGAGGCTCCTGGTAGCAAAGGTTTTCCATCTCATCACACCATTGATCGTCCTAATGCTCAACCCCTTCCAGCCAGGACCACAGCACTGACTCCATGGTAGTTGTGTTTTATGGGATGCTTTATATCCCTGGAGTTGTGATGAGCAAGATGAGTGTTTATCCATAAAATCTGGGATGCTGCTGGAGAGGGGAGTGAAAAGAGACAACACTTAACACTTAACCTGGCTGCCTGCAGACCATTGAACGTGCTGACCCTGCCCGTGGTCACTCCATGCCCTGGAGCAGAACTTTATTGCCTTTATTAGCTGAGATGCTGCAGACACTGTCAGTGGTCCTGTTATTCCCCATCAATCCTGGAGGAAATATATCCACCCGCATGGTTGACCTCAGCTTTGCTGCCATAAAGGGCAGGGATGGAGCACGGGCCATGGTGGGATGCTCTGGGAGGTGTGCAGGGGAGGCTGGAGCAGGCTGGGATCACACAGACCCCCCTGCACCTCCATGCCATGGGCACCTCCTCCTCTTGCTCCTCCTGTGGTGGTTCCTTGGTGGGGGTGAGGTAGATGCTGCCTGTGATCTCATGGGATCCTGGAATCCCAGAGGAAGGGACCTCAGGGACCATCTGCTCCCCCCTTTCCAAGCACAGCATGACCTAGGCCGGGTGCCCAGCACCCTGTGCCGCCCAGTCTCAACAGTGTCCAGCACTGCCATGATTATTCCAGTGTCTGATTGTTCTCAGTGTGATAAATTTCCCTCTTGTGTCCAGTGGGAAACTCCCCAGCAGTAACTTGTGCCCATCACCCCTCGCCTTTCCCATGGGACTCCTTGTCCAAAGGGAGTCTCCATCTCCTCTGCAGCCCCCCTTTAACTCCTGGCACGTGGGATCAGGTCTCCCTGAGCCTGCTCTTCTCCAGCTGAACAGTCCCAGCTCTCTCAGCCTTTCCTCACACGCTGCCCAGCCCTTGGACCATCTTTGTGGCCCTTCTCTGGCCCCTCTCCAGCCCATCCACAGCTTTGCTGTGCAGCAGGACCCAAACTGAGCCCATATTCCAGGGGTGGCCTGACCAGCGCCGAGCACAGTGGGACAATGACACCTTTATCCCTGTGGTGATGCCCCTGTTGATGGTCCCCAGCATCCTGTTGGGTTTCTCTGCTCACTGCTCACTCCTATGTCCCCCAGGACCCCCAGGACCCTTTCCCAGAGCTGCTCCCAGATCCCGGCCTGGGCTGCTCCAGGATTGGGTTTTCCCAGGGGCCAGACCTGACACTTGTCCTGGTTGGACTCCATAAGGTTAGAACCACGGAATCATGGAACGAGTTGGGATGAAGGGACCTTAAAGCTCATCCGGTTCCAGCACCTTCCACTTAGACCACGTTGCTCCAAGCTCTGTCCAAGCTGCCCTTGAGGTTCTCATGCCACTCTCCTGCTCATCCCACAGGGTGACTCCCCCTTCCCACCTTTCCCTCCCGCTCGGTCTGGTGCTGTCAGCACACTCCAGCAGGGAACGCTTGAGCCCTCCTGCAGGTCACTTACGAGGACACGGAGCAGCGCTGGGCCCAGGCTGGATCCCGGGGACCCGCTGGGCCCCGTTTGAGGAGGGGACGTTCAGCACCACGTAGATAGGTCACAGCCCCCTCCCTGGCTGCTGGAGCTGGGCCATGGGCCAGGCTGACCCCCCCAGGCAGGGTAAACAGAGCCTGGCTCTGAGCCCGGCCTGATTAAGCCTTGACAGGAGTCAGGACTTATTACTGTGGCCAAGGGCTGGGTAATGCATCTTGATTGTGGCCAGGCACAAAATGTCATGTCCTCATTGTGCTGGGCCTCGTGTTCCCACTGAATTCCCAATCCCTGCGCTCCATCCCATTCCACTGGGGGGATGTGCCTTGCATTTTAGGGTTAAACTGGGCTTTTTGGGCTCATTTAGGCTGACCCCTGCATCACAGAGTGATGCAAACCTCACCTTCAGCCCAAGCCACCACCAGCTTGCAGGGATTCTTCCCATCTTCTCCCCAGCCTCCACAAGGATTCGGGATCTAGCCACACTCCTGCTGCTGTGCTGAATCATCCTCGTTACAAAACCCATCCTGCCTCATTCCCAGCTTGAATCCTCTCATCCAGCCCCTGGAGCAGGTTCCTTTGGCTCTTGGATGAGCGAGTTCTCTGCTTTATGTGGAGACACTTCATGCCTGTGGTCAAGTCAATCCCCAAACCTCCCATTGGGAACCTCAGAAGATGGATTTTCCCTTCCCATCTCCAGGCTCACTTGAGGCTTTGCACTTGGTTCCCTGGTTCCCACTGGATCCATCCGCTCCCGTCCCCCGGCTCTCCTCAAATGCAGACCCAGGCTCTGAGGAGCTCGGTTGCATCCAGGATGTTGCCATCGGAGAGGCACAGGGACGCTCCTTTCCCAGCCCTCCAGCCTTGCCCCACTCCTTCAGTCCCCTCCCTCTTCCCGTTCCCACTCAAGGAATAACGCCCCAACCTCCTTGGACCTGCTGGTGTGGCGCAGTGTCCCTCCCTCCCTCCCTCCCTCCCGTCTCCCTGGCAACACTGAGTGCACATCCTGGAAAACTTGATCCGAGCTCTGCTCTGGGCAGCTTTCCCAATCCATGCTAACCTGATTAGGTGTCTCTGGGGCCGTGCCTGCCTAATCGAATTAGATGGCACTAATGGCAGCGAGGACTTTGAGTGGGGAGAGAGCAGGAAAACAGAGTGTGTACTTAGTGATAATTATCCCTGCTTCTGTGGCATTGATTTATTTGCCTTTTCCCCCCTTCCCTCCCTCCCCTTCCTCCTTTTTGTTGTTCCCATTGTCTTCAAACACAGCCATTCGGAGGAAGGAGAACGGCTGGTACGATGAGGAGCACCCGCTCGTCTTTCTGTTCCTGGGATCCTCTGGAATAGGTGAGGATTGGGGTGTGCCAGAGGAATGGAGGGGCTGGGGCTGCTCCTGAGGCTCAGCACAGCCCCTTCTCTCTTTGCTTCACACAAAGCTCTGCATAAAACACCAGTTGAAGTGTCACATCCCTCCAACTGGTCCATGATCCCGCAGGATAACCCCCAGCAGGTCCCATCCAGGGCACAAGCAGCTTTACACTGAGTTTGAACATCCCAAAGGAGCAGTTTTCCCAAGAAAAGGGTTGTTTTATGCCTCCATGTGTGAGGTAAGAGCTGCTGCTGGCAGCTCCAGCCTAAAAAACTGCTGTCTCACTCCTATGGACAAGGGAGGCTTTGGAATGATGGGATTTTATTGACTCCCATAATATAAGCACAATAAAAGGCAACACAACACTTGGTGCCTTCGTGGAATGGCCAAAATGACTTTTAGTCATAGAACAGAACAGCCAAAGCAGCTTTAAAGTGACCAAAGTAACATCTGCAATAACAGCAGTGCTCCTCCTGCATCCGCTGCACCCCTCAGCCTCGGGAAGGGGCTGCTGCTGGAGGGATCAGGGCAGGGACACACACCGGGACCTCTGCATCTCTGCCTGGCTGGGTGTTACCTCAAAAGGAGTTGTATAAAGCCATACAAAACCCTAAGAAATGGCTTTGAGACTTCACTGCACTCCTTGTAGAGGCTCGGTGATGTGCATTGCAGCTCTTCAGCTCCTGTGAGTACCCATGGAGGGGTTTTCCCACTACTTCTGCTCCCATAAAAAGGAATATTGAAAGAGGAAGCACTGAGAAGCTGTGGCTGCCCCATCCCTGGCAGTGTTCAAGGCCAGGTTGGACACAGGGGCTTGGAGCAACCTGCTCTACTGGAAGGTGTCCCTGCCCAGGGCAGGGGTTGGAGCTGGAGGAGCTTTGAGCTCCCTTCATCCCAAACCATTGTGTGATTGTAAGTAAGGATCCATCCACATTGATGTATGTACATACACTGTGTGTAAGTGCAGGTCTGGACCCCTGTGCTCACATGTGGGACCTACAACCCAGCAACAGCCAAGGCTGACAAAGCTTGAACTGCACCATGATGCTGAGTTTTGGCTCAGTTCCCATGTTTGCAGCACTTCTCTGGTGATCTCATTCCATGATCCTGCAGATCCAAGCACCAAACCCATCGGCACTGGCAGAGCTGCGGCTGCAGGGATGTGTGATACTGCAGTGAATGTGGGAATCATGGAGTCAGGGAATGGGCTGGGATGAAGGGACCTTAAAGCTCCCTCAGTCCCACCCCCCTGCCCCGGGCAGGGACACCTTCCACTAGAGCAGGTTGCTCCAAGCCCCTGTGTCCAACCTGCCCTTGAACAC